GGGGGAGAAAAAAGAAAGTGAAAAAAAAATCCCTAAATGTTCACCTTTCCAGGCCACGTGACTCATTAATGTATGCAACAAGGACTTCAGAGCCCTGAGATATACCTACCATTTCCTTGAATGCACTTTCTATGGCCCCAATAACCAGGCACTCATGTGGGATCTTCTTCTCAGTGAAGAAGCGTGTTGGAGGGGTGCTGGGCGAGCCTGGGGCCCCCACACCACCACGCAGGGAGGCCGCCCGCGTCAGCGTCCTGCTGTTGGTGGCTGGGTTGTCGGGCTCCTCTCCCAGGCAGGTGGGTGGGAGGACGGCCGTGTTCCTCAGGATGTCCACGATCTCCTGCAGCTGTTCCAGGATATGGTGCTGCAGCAGTTTGGAAGCAACCACAGCTGCCCCCGACCCAGCGTGTCCATCAAACAGGGACCAGTAGTACAGGTTGATCCCATCTGTGTCCTGGAAAAGCAGGAGGGGAAGAAAGGGAAAGAAAAAGAGATGGTCACCATTACACAGCCACGAGTGAGGTGACCGGTGGCACAGGGGCAGCAGGTAAAACACAGGTAGCTTTCCCAGAGGTAACCTTCTTTCTGAAATGGAGAAATACCCACTGTGTTAGTACAGCTCTGGCAGGACGGAGAGATGCTTATTTTTGCCACACATCGCCACCATTTTTTTTTTTCTTTTTTCTTTTCCTTAATCCCCTCAAAAAAAAAAAAAAAGGCTGAACTTGCAATCTTCCTTACTTTACAGTCATCATAGGATGCACTGACCAAGCACAGCTACCGCTGTGAGATTAAGTTAATTTCCTAATGACTGTGTAGATCAGAAGGAAAGCATTTGAAAATCACATCACTGATACATGATGGACCTACCTCCATGGAGACCAAAATTCTACACAAGAGAGCACCTGATACTTCTGTGACTTATTTTCCACTAGGCATGAGACAAAAGACCTCAGTTTGACATCTAGTAACAAGACGTGACTCCCACTTCCATGACTGGTAGATAAGGACCATCCGTGCTGGCAGATGGGACAGCTCAGGCTTTCTCTGCCTGTGCCAGCCCAGGAACCAGCACAGGACAGAGGTCCTCGAGGATGGCAGACACAAGTGGGACCAGCTACACTCCACCCGTGCTAGCCTACACATTCACTGCCTAGTTCTTCCCAATCCTCTGAAAAGTTTCCTGGACAGTACTGGAGTTGCATACCCTCTGATCAGAAGAGCTATGCAAGTGTTTTGGTATAGCTCTCAGCATAATAGTATGCTTTTAGATCCTATATTTTAGCTCAGCTCCTAGCATGCCAGTCAGCACAACTGCTCTCATACAGGCAGAGTATCCAGAAAAAGTAGATTTTGTAGACCTCAGTATTAAAATTAAGGTATATGTGGTAATATTATATATTTGTTCAGCAGTTATTGATCAATGATGTGATTTTCAAATATTTTTCTCTTTCTGCTCCACACAGTCTCCTCTGACAGGTGTAAGTCAGCTCCACTATTGCTCTGATTTGAGCAGAAACCATGTTTTTGTGGTGGGGTGCCCTATTACTCAGATAGGGCCCACTAACCAAGGGCTGGAGGCAGACTAAGTTCTGGGCAGCACAGGCTCCGATCTGCCTGAAAAATACCAAGGAGCCATAACCTAAATAATGTCAACTTTTTTGGGGAGAAATTCACCTAGAAATCCTCAGGGAAGCATTTAAGGCATAGCAATACCTGTTTTTGCATGACAGCATATTTGGCAGCTGCATGTGGAAAGAGTCTTTCCAGTCTCTCCTTTACCCTCCCTTTCTTCTTAATCCTGCACCTTCTCCCAGCTATGCTGAAACAAATATTTGTGGGGCTGCCTTGCAAGTCAGATGTGGGTGGACTAATACAGATTTAGAAACAAATCATTTTGCAAGGGACAGGAATCAGGCAACACTGTTGCAAAACACCTCATACTAAAAAAGCATAACCTAGATTTCATGCAGTCAAAGAACTTAAAAATTTTATCTGCATGTCATGCTGACTGTGGTCTAATTTAGGATGACAGACACAATTTGTTCCATTCACCCAAACACTGCTCCCTTACACAGCAGATCAGCATGTAGTCTAGGCACCACCTGCATCCCAGCACCTGATGCCCAAAGCACTGCTTATTTCAAACTTATTGTCAGGGCTGTGAACTGCAGCTCCTTTACTTTCTGCTGTTCCAACTGCTCCACAAAGGTGCCAACCACTGGTTGTAGGACATGGCAGACAGGTTGGAGTAAGAACACCATGAATTGTCATTTGCAGATTCAAAAGACATCATTCATTGTTGCCCCGAGCTACAAAATCCGAAACCTAATGCAAAGTGTCTCTTTTAGCAACATGTATATAGACCATCACTACAAGTTCATGCTGTTGAAAGGGCAGAATTAATCACTGAACAAGCATTATTACTTATAACTTACTTTGTTGAAATGCACATTTATTTAAAAGCCTTGATTATAAAAATTACATAAAAGTCTTTTTTTTTTTTTTTTTTAGCTTATAGCATTGCTGCTGTAGTAAAGTTCAAACATATTCTTAACCAGTGCATTAACAATACAGCCATCTACACAGTGGAGAGTTCCTCCAAGAGAAGGAATTCAGTCTATTGTGAATTCTTCGTTTCATTAATGAAATGCTGAGAAAAGGGAGTATTGTCCTACAGTACTGGATTACTTACCACAGTAAGGATCATACAGGATACAACCTATAATGGTGGAAAACCCAACAAGTGTACATATTTCCGAATGTGGCTCCTTAGTCAGACCCACCCACCTACCCAGTCTGGTAAATTCACCAAAAAACCTGTTGTGAAACTTCACCCTTGAAGGCATGACTGGCAGTTGTGCTAGCTTGCTCCGGGCTCAGAATCCCTCCAAGTTCACACAACAGTTGGCTGTAAAACTCTGCTTAAGCAATTTTTAATGGATAACAGGATTACTGACTAAAAAACCTGTTTGTAAAAATAGATTGCTATTCATGCAAAATGTAAAGTATTTTGCCAACAGAAACAAGTATCCCAAAGTGAAAGTATTTCAGCTGAAAACTGAAACCATTTATTAAAAATGGCAACACTGTGCCTCCTGGGAGTTGTAGATCAAACTACTTCTGCTCCCATTCTTCTCTTCGGGTTTGGCTCCCTGGCCAAAATCCACCTCATGATGCATCACGGATAATGCTTCCACAGCTTATGTCTTCATGTCATTCAAAAGGTGCTACTCCTTTAGAGATGTGATGTGTTGCCTTCGGGGCAAAAAGCATAAAGGCATTACAGCTCTGAGTGAAATGGAAATATTTTACCTTCTACCTAGAGGAAGAAGATATTTTGTCATCGCCCTTCCCCTACCTCCAGTCTATAACAGAAACTTACAATTAAGAACAAGTTTAACCCCCCCCAAACACACTTATTTTCTTAAGTTTTCCAAAGCAAGCCCCCACCAAAGTCTGTATTAGAGCTTTTTAGAAGATAAAGGAGAAGAGTTACTAACACAATTCACTCTCATTATTATGAGCACAACACTGGTTATGTCCTACAATGAACAAGCCTGTGGTGGTGCATTTCCCCCCCCTCCCCTGGGCCGCTCTACGATCTCAGGAATTGCCATTGGGCCTTGGCCTTTGTGGAGTGAGTTGGGCGCTGAAACATCCCTTGACCGTACCAGAAACTCTTGCACGGCTGAGGTGGGGAACGGCACTGACTGTACCAGGAACTCCTGTTGCCTGGCCAAGGTGGGCGACAAGAGCGGGGATAATTCGTCATCCCCTGACATCCTTATCTGGATCATAGCTCACGTGGAACGGTACCATTGTTACTGGAATCTTGCAAATTCTAGTAACTACCGACTCGGACTGGGGCCAATATGGAAACTCGGACTGTGGCCAATATGGAAATTTATGGACGACTAAAGCCAATCATCTTGCAACCCTACAAACAGTGGTCCTAAGTGAGGCCCTTTGAGCTCTCCTGGACCACAGTGGGCTGCAACCAGCATCTCCCTCTGAGTGGGACACCACTCAGAGCTTGCGAACTCTCAAGTTTGTGGTATTTGGAGGACCATTGCCGAAAGCTGACGACGGGACCTGGGCTGAAACTTTTCACTCCTTGAGGCTCAACCCCTCACCCATTGAGAAATGCTGAGACGTTTGAAGCGAATATTTCACGGAACTCGAGGGTAATTTTTAACAGGTATATCTTTATATATTTACCTATCTTTGTGTTTGTGTGTGTGTGAATTGATGGAGGTACCCGATAGCAAGTATAGTATAAATATTACCATCTCAAATCTGTAATTAAGTCACTGTTGTGATTGTAGTAGACTTTATTACTTCGTAAATGTTAAATTAGTTAATGATTAAGCACTGTTAAAATCTTGTGATCCACCTTAAAATTGTGAATGAACCTTAGACTGCTGCTAGACACATATAATCCCTTAGACATAAACCGTTGACCAAGTCTGGGACTAGGAGTGGATCGAGCCACACCTAAGCTCCATCAGCAGTTTAGAAAGCAAGGGGGTCTTCTCTGAACCTCGTGACTCAACGGGAGGGTCTCCCTTACCCTTTTGCATCTTCGGTCTCGGTATAAATCATTCTAGCTCCATTCTAACTCAATTTTTCCTTTGTATGTTTCATCCATGTAGGAACTGATAGAGAGAACCTTGCCATTGAACTTTGTTAAGTCGCACTTTTATAAATTCCTATTAAAACCACTTTTGCTAATACCATTGACGGTGATTCTTTAAGTGATCTAAATCACTCATCTGCGACAAAGCCTCATGTGAACTTGGTAGTCAAATAAGGTGCCATCAGAGACCGGGAAGCTTTAAAACAGACCAGAACAATGGCCCATGAAAAAAAGTGAAATTGAAATGTTACCACTTATTTCCTCTAAGCCAATGGGCAGCACAAATCAGGACAGAGAAGCTCACACGGGCCTGAGCTGTATTCTCGGGCTGTCACTGACATGAACACAGGCACGTCAGCTATGATGGTGGTTCTGGAGTTCCCTGATCTTGTCCTTTTTGGAGTAGTAATTCTTAAACAAGAGGGTGTTGTTCAGCTAAGTTCAGACATCTACACTGCACACCTCAAGATAGTTCTTTAAATTGCCCTTATACTCAGCAGAGAGAAAAAAACCCTGCACTTTCAGACTATGCTCATCTCATTCCGAAGTAGACTTATTTCTCCCTAATAACTGCAGAAGTACCCTAGACAACTGAGAAGTCTGTATTATAAGCATATACGTCAGGGGAGATGACTGCCATAATGCTGCTCTTATACACACACTCTGTGTGAGATGCTCTAGGGCCTTAACTTCAGTTGGGATCTGCAGGCATTACTGTAATCTAAATATTAGTCTCCAGAAACTTCTATGTATTGCTATGAAGCTTCATTTACTTTTAAACTAGCAAAAAGAGTATAACCACGAATAACCTATTA